CAGGGCACAAGGCAGGGTACACCCTGGACAGGACACCAGTCCATCACAGGGCACAAGGCAGGGTACACCCTGGACAGGACACCAGTCCATCGCAGAGCAGCCACACTCGCACCCACGCTAATTTTACGGAAGCCAATTAACCTCCCGTTATATCTTTGGACTGTGCGAGGAACCGAGAGCACCTGGAGGAATCCCATACAAATACGGGGAGAACCTACAATCTCCACACAGACAGCATCCCCAGGAATCGAACCCAGGGCCCCAGCACCGCGGGGTAGCAACGCAGACCACTGGGTCACCACACTGCCCTCTCCAGACTGTCAGCCCCCTACACGCTCTGCTTTTCAGTTTACACTTATTTCAACATACACATTGATCACTGTGAAGATAAACTGCTACGCGTGTCAGCGCAGAGTTACCTACTACAAACCACAGTCATCCTGTTCGTGCACGTTTTGGCAATGATTCCTGTGACATTCCAGGTTTTCTACACCTTCTTAGACTTTTCCATGTCAGGAAACAAAGGTTTCACTTTCCCAGGTGCCGAAGCATGTGGAGATGTTTTTGTCGGCTAATCTCAATTAAATAAAAAACCCCGGGGGTGTTTAGAATTGGGAGAAGAACAATTCAATGACAAGTGCTGCCAGGATCAGGAAGAAAGTCAAAGCAGTTGCTGGAACTGATTTCTCACCCGCCACGAATCATTCCGACTAAAAAGAATGACCATATTGCATACAAACTGCTGTAAGACATCTTATAAGGTAACGCTAAAGAAATACCGTGCGTCCTGGGAGCATCTGTAGAATGAGGAAGAATGGAAACTCCAAAACCCGTCCATTTGCAGAACCGTGTGTCTCACCCTACCAGTTCCAGAGGTCTCTAACATCTTCAGACATCATGCTAGTCTCACGCCAGCGGGCCCTACCTTCACCGGATTGAGGTTGGTGGTCATTATGATCTTGTGCAGGGGGCTGGCCAGCCCAGGGGGGAGCTTCGGGTCCTTCTCCAGGCCCTGTGGTTTGGTGTAATACTCCAGCCTTTCTCGTGGGAAGAAGTTGTTGATAACGGTCACACAGTCATGCTGGCCTACAGCAAATATAGTTAAAATGTCAGGGGAAGCAAAACATCCTTCCTCACCGTTTTAACATCTAATAACAGAAGATTAAGAAATGACATGATTCCGAAGTTTATACACACACAATACACTATAGCTGTGTGACTAACAACTGATGGCACTGCGGAGTTCTTCATAGCACGTGAAAACGTTTCACTTAAAATAACATGCGAATGACTGCTCCTTCTGGATTTTCTGCTTTCTAAATCAACACATCAATAATAATTATACACATTTTTCTAATTTGTAAAACAGCCATGGTCATCTAAAATAAGCTGAATAGAAAGACCCTATGAAGACAAATTCATTTCTGTTTTCAATCTCCAACTTCTGTAGTTGGGAACTAATATTCTAAGGCAATTTTCCCCTGTGCTCAACATGGTTTCTTACGGTCCCTTGATCTACAGTAGGACAGTTTCTACAGTAGAAAACAAGCGATCAAAAAACCACACAAATTATTCATATTCTGCGTCAGTGTTTACAAAGGTTCTTAATTCAAGTCCAGAAAAATGAGTTAGACGCCCAAGAAGATGCCCAGCTTACCAACGAAAGCTGCCATCTGGGCAGCTGTCCGTCCTACAGAGTTCACCACATCTGTCTCGGCTCCGGCCTCCAGCATCATCCAGGTAATGTCCGTCTTGCCTGGGATTTCAACGAGGGCAAACACAGTTTAACCACACCGACACATAACAAATCTGCTCACAGTCAAATGTTTGTAGTCCATTGAATACCAATGGACATGGCCTGTTAATGACACAGATGGAATGCCTCTACACTGTGGTCACAATGTTTGTGTGATACAGGACTGAATACTCCAACACCTGCAGCACAGTGCCAAGAAACAGCTTGTTAGACCCCTGTGCTGGTCTGTTTTCTTCTATATTTTAAAACTAAAAAGTAATTAGATCTTCATCAAATTCCTAAGAGAAGCTGAAGACAGCCTGCTTAAATGTATAACACAAAGTCATGAGATACATCTGGCTTATTTTATTGACAAAAGGGTCCAAGAATAAGAATAAATATCTATGTGCGACTAAGTCTGTGAACACTTTAATTCAATAACTGGCAGCCCCTGGTTAAGCAGCAATGAATTTGTAGAAGTTTTCTGCTCCTGTTTATCAGTTGTTCCCCATAGAGCTGCTTCAAGGTGGTAACATTTGAAGGTTCTTCTGCATAAACAGTTAGCTTCACATCCTGACATAACTTCTCCTTGGAGTTTGAGTCTGGCCAACACAATACATGCCTGTCTCTTTTTCGGAGGTTCTTTGAAATTGCTTCTGACTGTAGCACATTGTGGTTCCACTAAACTATAGGGTGAAGACCCGACTCACAAAGTTTTTGACCATTACAGTACAGGGCTGCCAAAACTCAGTTAACCTGTTACTTCATTATTTAACCCCTTGATTCTAATTACCTCATTAATCATGCTAAGTAAGCTAGGGCTGATTAAGTAACACAGACATGGTAAGAAACTAATTCCCATAATTATACTGGGGGTTCACAGGCCTTTTCTCTGTGACTTCAAAGGCAAGTCTCAAACTGCCACTAGACCAGCTACAAAGTCTGCAGATGCTTAGGTGTATAGGAGAAAGGTTGTCTGTTTATGCATGTGTGCAAGGTATATAAATGTACATTTATTATATGGATTGTGCACAGAAACTTTATACCACACCGCTCTCTCTCTCTACCCTCACGTCAGTACACTGTTGCACGAATAACTACAAGCATTTTTAGGAGTGCTGCCCTGAGACACAGAAGAATATGACAGATAGCTTTTCACCTGAAAGTCCAGCGAACATCAGGGCGGTGTATCCATGCTCGTGCTCATTGCAGTTCACGTCTGCGCCGTGCTGCAGAAGCAGTCTGCACATGTCTGCCTTGCCCTTGTACGCCGCGTGCATCAGCGGGGTCATCCCATACTGAGGGGGGCAACACACAGAACACTGCTGTCCACACGCCTCATCACAGGTCAGTTCCTTTTCACACTCTGCAGAACGTTATCGGGTCCCTGCCAGAACAAGCTTTTTTGGAAGCCCACCTGATTCCTCCGACAATGACGGACACTTACATTACAGGTGTCTGCTGCAGTATCATTTGACGGGAACGTGCACGCAGTTCAGCTGTTATCGGCACACTTTTCCAAGGTGAACCTTTCTAAACGGAACCCATCTTATTTTAAATACAAAACCAGAGCTGTTACACCTGGAAAACTCAAGACAGTTTTCATTTTGCCCTTATATATTTCAGTATTTCTGAGGATGTTGTAAGGATACTACTGCTATTATTTTACCAGATGTTTCCCACATACACATTTCATAACTAAAAAACATTGTCAAATGCATGGGGACTGTATTTAATTTTACAACTGAGGGCTTTACAATTGAGGGATAAACGAGGGGTAAAACGAGAAGCTAGAATCGTAAAAGTGGCTCCTGTTTTCTTAAACTCATCACAAACTCTTAGCTTGAGTTTGGGGTTTGCACTGGCCAGGACAAAGGCAGACCAGAATTTGCTTTATGCTACACGTCATTTTATTTTAGACATTTAAAGTTTTTATGACTTTAAAATGCAGAGTAGAAAATACTGTGAATTTAATTTACTGCACTGTAGGTTTGGTATACAGTCCTTCTTGAAGAAATAAACCAGGCCAAGCAGAGAGAACAAGTAACCATTTGCAAACGCAAGGCTCATCTGATCTTGACAGACGCAGGACAATTGCCAACTGCTGTTCCCAACAGAACTCTCTTCCCTCACAAGGGCACCTGGGGAGACCTGTACATCTAGTGACATCAAGTCTTCACTACCCTTCTCCTCAGTACAATACCCTGCCTCTCAAAGTCCCTGCCATATGGCAACAGAACAAGGCAAACACATCCTCTTTTACAGTGTACATGCCCGCTAAACATTCACACTTTTAACCAGTACAGCATCGGGCCACAAAACTGAGAATCAGCAGGTAGTAAAATCGATCACTCAATCACAGCAACACAACTCTTCGCAACTGCATTTAATAATAATGATAATTGCTTAAATTTATATAGCGCTTTTCTGGACAGTCCACTCAAAGCGCTTTACAGGTCATGGGGATCCCCTCCACCACCACCAGTGTGCAGCCCCACCTGGATGATGCTCCAGTCTGCTCACCACACTCTTGCGTTGTGGGGAGGAGAGCAGAGTAATGAAGCCAATTCATAGATGGGGATTATTAGGAGGCCATGATTGGTAAAGGCCAGGGGGAAATTTGGCAAGGAAGCTGGGGTTACACCCCTACTCTTTTCGAGAAACCCTGGGATTTTTAATGACCACAGAGAATCAGGACCTCGGTTTTACGTCTCATCCGAAGGACAGCGCCTGTTTACAGTGTAGTGTCCCCGTCACTATACTGGGGAATTAGGACCCTCATGGACCGCAGGGTGAGCACTCCCTGCTGGCCCCTCTGAGAAATCTTCCAGCAGCAGCCTCAGTTTTTCCCAGGAGGTCTCTCATCCAGGTACTGACCAGGCTCACACCTGCTGAGCTCCAGTGGGCTGCCAGCTGTGAGCTGCAGAGTGATATGGCTGCTGGCTAATTGTCCACTCTTCTAATCTGTTACAGGTGCAATTTTTCATTTGTTGTAATTGTGTTAAAATTGTGAACTTCCAATGTAGCAAGGACAGAACATTTCTCCTACCTCATCCAAACAGTTCACACGGACGTCTTTACATCCCAGCAGCCTTGAAACCTCCTGGACATTTCCTAATAAAAAAAAAGGGAGAACAGGAGTATGAATCCTTCTACGAGGGGACACGGTCTACATCAGCCACATGCAGAGTACTGGTTCTCAGCTGTGGATCCGGGACCCCGGCTATCCTCAGAAACTATACAGGACACCAAGTACAACCCCAGCAGTGTTTAAATCTTCATGCACAAAGGGGACCAGCTCACACAACGAGATCAGGCACTGATCCTCAGTGCTACTATTAACATAATATATAGCGAACAGCACCTTAACTTATAGTGATTATAAACTTGGACTGGGCTGTGGTTAGCATTGCGGCCTCGCAGTGCTGGGGCTCTGGGTTCTGTAACAGGAGTGCCATCTGTGGGGAGTCTGCATGTTCTCCCTGGGTGTGCGTGGGCTTGTCCCAGGTGCCCCAGGCTCCTCCCACAGTCCCAAGGTATGCTGGCAGGTTAACTGGCTTCTGGGAAAATTGGCCCTGGTGCGAGTGTGTGGGTTTGTGTGCCCTGCGATTGGCTGGCGTCCTGTCTAAGTATCCCGCCTTGCACCCAGTGGAACTGAGAACGGATGAACTATGTACTTTCATTTTATTTTGAGATGGGGGTTATTTACTCCTTAAAAAAAAAGGAGCCTCTAGAATGAAACAACTGAAAACACCCGTTATATGAGGATACACCTAATAAGGGGACAGATATCATTAAGACTATCATAAGGAGAAAGAACTTGACAGCTTCCCAATGTTTTAATTAAATATGCATTCCTGTTCATATTTAAATGGGTTGTACTTGCATGACCAGGTTCGAATTTCACTGCAGGTTCTGAAAAAGTGCACCAAGGGACCTTTGAGTCAATGACTTTGACGAGTGATTTTTAAATAACTAATCTGGGCCTTCTCTGTTGAAGACTACAAGTGTTCAGTTCTTTTAGCATGTGAGTGTAGAAACAGCCCCATAAACAGTAAACGTCCTAAATTCACATCGAAACAGAAGAGCTTGTGTCTGAAGAGCCAGAAGAGGAATATGAATTCCAATGCTTCTCCTTCAGTTTTTATCCACAACTACACAACTAATACACATGTTTTAGTTCTGACTTTGCATTGTAACGATTGGTGCTTTTTTTCCCACCATGACTATGCACTGGGCTGATAAGACCCAGGTACCCTCTGGTTCACACTGTCGAGTCTTGGCCTGAGCCAGGGGGCAGTTCATCCCCTACAGACTGTGCGGGACATGTGCCTGGCTGACTAATTTCACGTGCAGGACGGGAAAGCGAGCTGCCCCCCGGACCCGAACCTCTTATTTAGGAACTAGACGTTTTCCGGACGCTACCGGGTATGAAACATGGCGAAACCGGCGAGTTTCAGCGTTGAAATCCCATTCGCTACCGTCTCCCAATACCGCATTGTTTTCCCCCTCAATCTTGCAGCCACGTTTACCCCGTGTGGTGATGTACTTTTTAAGCCCCGAGCCTCTTTCCAGCAAGCACAGAGCCGATATTTCAAATCGGCGACCTCCGTGCAAGTCAGTGTCGATGCGCAGCTCCACGCATGTGCGCCGCTAGATCTCGCGGGAGCGCCCACGGAAGCAGGCAGGCTCATGCAGGTGATGAGCAACAGCCCTGTGCACGGTTTTTTTTTTTCTGGGGTAGACCTACAGGTATATTAATAAAAAAAAAAAAACAGGTACTAAAAAAAGCACTTTCTAAGCACCAAACCCGCTACCCATGACCACAAGACGGGTGTTGGTGTTAGCGCATCCGCAGGGCGACTGACCCGGGATGACAACGTGGGAAACGTGCGAAACGGCGATGTGTCAGCCCGTGTTCGTGGCCGGTGCAGAAACACGGCTGCCTCCTGGGCGAACCTGTGGCCAACACCCAGCTCCACGCCCGGGTCAGTGGCCGAGCGACGCTCTGCCAGGCCTGCCTGCGCACAAATAAGTTACTTTACAAAAACCACACGAACAACTGAACCCCGACTGCTGTCACTTTGCTGTGTCTGGGGAACTTAGACACGCCCGATTAAAAGCGTTAGCAATTATCCGTCACGTAGCCCTTTTTTGATGTCAAATCTGAGGGCACTAGCAGTAGTGTGCAATGAATTTATGTATTTTACCTGCGGCAATAACCTGTAACAGTTCCTTCTCGCCGGCCGAAAGATCTCCCTTCTTCTTCGGAGAGGCCATTGTGGGGACGTCTGCCTTCCTTCCTTCCTTCCTTCCGCGGGCCGGGATCCGGTCTAATTTAAGCCGCTAGCGTGTATCAGACCTTTGCAAAAGTGCCAGATGAAAACAAAACAACAACACCACCATCGCTCGGACGACTAACAGCGCATCTGCCGCCCCCCTCTTGACTCCCGAAACACGCAGCGCAGTGCGCCGTCTCCCAGGCCGGCGTGCACCACACGGAGCCGAGGGACGGGGGGGGCCCGGGGAGGACAGCGTCCCCGAAACGGGGCCGGGCGTGGCCGGGGTGAGGCACACTTGAGGGCGGCGGGCATCAGACGCCTCCCCGCAGACGAAACGGCGACCCAAACCCCCGCAAACGGCGACACGCCGTGTGGAATAAAGTCCTGCTCGACACGCTCCCCCCCGCCTCCTCTCCGCCGTTCTCCGCGGGTGAGGATTAAGGCCGCAGTATATGCGCGGATGCGGTGATGCCCAGGGCCATGTGAGACTGCCCGTCCTCCGCTGCTGCTGCTGCAGAGCTGCTCCCCTGCAACCCGAGTACCAAGGACACCACACTGAGAGGTAAGACTGGCCCCGCAATACCCCACTCCCACTCCCACCCCCCCCGGGGGGGCGCGCTGGCTCTGGGCTCGACCAGCGGGGACCCTGACTGGGAAAACCATCTGGGGGGGCTAACAGTGAGAAAGACGACGTGCACTTTATCGACCGGATTGTCGGTGGGGGTAATTCCGGATTACCTGTGCACTGTGTGTGTGTGGGGGGTGTATATACACACTTGTGGTCAGTTTTGTGGAGTGAGACGCTGCGTACGACGCGAATCGAGGGAACTTCCTTGGAAAATCGCGTTGCAATAACACTCATGATGATTACGCTCTGTTTGACTGGTTTGACAGGTGACTGTATGTGGTAACGCGATGTTTATGGACGCCTGAGTGCTGGAAACGTACCGTTTGATGAGGTCCATGTGGTTCAGAATGAGAGCAAATTTCTTTTTAAATCACACCGTGGGTCTGACGCTTCACACCCGCTGTGTCTTCTGAACATGTTATATTAACAGTTATATATATTTATGAACAGTTATATATTCTGAACAGTATATATATAAAAAACAACATTCTGGATGAGGATGAATTCATCTTCAGGCAGGGTAAGCAGTACTTTTCACACGCGAGAAGCTGCTCCAAGATAAATGCAGGGGAGTGGAAATATTAAAGTTATGCCGTTGGGTGCGTAATACCCCAGCAGTCTGAAAGCGCGTAGTCCCAAATAATCGTTTTGATTTAATCTCAATTTTTAAATTTCTCAGAAACACCTCAGTGGTGGACAAGCTTGAAGGTTATTTCAATTTCATTTTCAGGGCGAACTTTTCACGGAGTTTGTTCTGGGGTTGCAAATAAGAGGCAAATAACTGAGCGCACTTGCGCAAGTGTTTTGAGTCTGCGGTCGACTCGGGTGTCTTATCCAATTCAGTGCTGTCTGGAAATGCGCTTTTAGAAGCGGATACAGGTTGCCAGTTGGATACTGTATAGGTTCAAACCGTCCTTCACCCGGGGAAGCGAAACGCTTACAAGTGGGATTCCCTCAGAAGGGCAGGAAAATCTGTTTTCAGTCCTCTAAAAATTTCAAGTCCTGCTTTGTTCTCCTTTTTGAATACGCGGGTTACTTACAGTAAATAACGCAGAAGACGTCTTTGGTTTTCCGCTGCGTTGCAAATTGAACATTTTAGCCCTGCAGAACAATTCGCCGTGCTTGTATTCGCTGCTGAGTGTTCAAAGCATTTATCTCGGTTTTAAAGGAAAAGGAAGAGTTTTGAGCGACATTTCTCATTCTTACAGTGCTTCTACAAAATTGACTCTTGTGTATGAAATGCATTTTCCCGAAATTGTACCGCGGGTATGCATAGCTGACGGACCTGCGCTAAGATCCACGCACAACGTGAATAAAACAACAGCAACCTCAAAACCCACAGGACATGAATGAAATGTTACGTCACCAGCATTATTTTAATATTCATGTGCATATATGTCAATAGCGTAGTAAAAATACTGCTGGACTACTTTGCAAATTCGACGACGATACGCAAATATTGGTCTGAATATACATCCAATGATTCTTCTCCCCGTGAATAAATTTAAAAGTATTGATACTGTATATCAAATTGCATATTTCTTGTATGAAAATAAGTACTAAGAACCGGAATCTAAATTCCTACTACCGGCAGTAAACGGAGTCTGACTTTCTGAAACCTGCTGTAATATGAACGCTTTCTCCTGTCTGACATTTTTAATCGTTGTCCGTCCGTCTCTTTTCAGCAGAGCCACGTTAAAGGTGTGAAAGTACGAATTGACATGTTAGCACTTAGCGTGCTTCTAGCTTCTTAGCAAAAAAAAAAAATCCCATCATTTTGACAATACAATGCAAATGTGCATGTCATGCGAGACACTACTGTAAATTGCATGTCCAAACGTTTCTACAGAAACTCGCGGTGTTTGGAGAACTCTTGAGCAAGAACAGCGAACCGGAGCTGTTCAGGGTGCTGAACGCTACTATCGATATGTATCCTCTGAGCCCAAAAGGTATTTCACAGGCTACCCCCAATTCAAGGCATTAACGCTGTGATTC